GACCTATGAAGGAAGGCTGAAAGAATTGGGTTTGTTTAGTTTAGAAAAGAGAAGATTGAGGGGGATATGATAGCAGTTTTCTGGTATCTAAAAGGGTGTCATAAGGAGGAGGGAGAAAACTTGTTCATCTTGGCCTCTGAGGATAGAACAAGAAGCAATGGGCTTAAACTGCAGCAAGGGAGGTTTAGGTTGGACATTAGGAACAACTTCCTAACTGTCAGGGTAGTCAAAGACTGGAATAAATTGCCCAGGGAGGTTGTGGAATCCCCATCTCTGGAGATATTTAAGAGCAGGTTAGATAAATGTCTCTCTGGGATGGTCTAGACAGTATCTGATCCTGCCATGAGGGCAGGTGACTGGACTCGATGACCTCTCGAGGTCCCTTCCAGTCCTAGTGTGCTGTGATTCTATCTTTCCTGGTCAGGAATTTAAGTTAACTGGTCACAGCCAGTGAGAGCTAAGGGGGCAGTTCCTGCAGACAGGGGCAGCGCACGGAGCTACCCGGGTTCCCCGCCTTGGGGCTAAAAGCACATGCGAGCTACTTCTGGGAGCAGCATGGGGCCAAGACAGGTAGAGAATCCAACCCTCTACTCCTGCCTGCAGCCCCAACACCGACGTCTTTCCCCCTCCCACAGCCCCAAGCCTGACCTTCCCACCCCCTTCTGCAGCTCTGAGCCTGAACTCCTCCCCTCTCCTGTGGCCCAGAGCCCGACCTCCTCATGCCCTCCGGCAGTTCCCCCCCAGCAGCTCTGAGCCCAACCTCCCACCTCCCTGCAGCCCCAAGCCCACCTCCCCACCTCCTCCTGTAGCACCTGAGCCTGACTTCCCCACCCCCTCCTGGAGCCCAACTCCCTTTCCCAGGCTCAGCCCAGAGCCCCCTCCTCTCTCCAAACCCCTCAGCTCCACCCTGGTGAAAGTGAGTGAGGGTGGGGGGAGCAAGTGATGGAGGGAGAGGGAATAGAGTGACATGAGGAGGGGCTTCAGAGACGAGGCGGGGCCCCAGGGAAGGGGTGGAACAGGGGTGGGGCAAGGATTTTTGGATTTGCGTGATCATGCAGTTGGGTTGGAGCTCACTGTAGTGCACATTAGACTCCTAACACCTATCTGCACTGCAGCCTTAAAACCCAGCAGACCAACTAAACCGTACTCACTGTTCATCAAAACCCCAGCAACCTCTCAGCGGCTGTAGTGCTCCCTACGTGGTTGGCGGACATGGCCACGCTCCCTCCCAAATTGGCCACATCTTTCTGGTACTGAGACCCCTCCAGAAACCTACCTCTTGAAGTGCTCATCAGCACTTCCTCACTGTCCACTTTCCCCACCAGGGCTAAGGCGTAGGATGCGATAGCCACCGTGTAAGGTCTTGTGAGAGATGAATACTTTCTGTCTAGGTATTCCCCAGCTTTCGTAATGGAACTATTTAGACTCTGGGTGGTAAAAAGGAAAAAAATTAAAAGGAAAAAGGGAAAAAGGGAAAAAGGGAAAAAGAAAGAAAGAAAGAAAGAAAGAAAGAAAGAAAGAAAGAAAGAAAGAAAGAAAGAAAGAAAGAAAGAAAGAAAGAAAGAAAGAACACACCAAGAAACCCAACTCACAGATCAGGCTGAAATTCTCTTACACATATTTTACATGATATTATTAAAAACAACCGCTACCAATTAATGTAATTTGTAGCATGTGTGAATTTCATCCTGGTGACACGTACCAGACAGAGGAGTCCGGAAATGCACTTTGTCTGTGTCTCCTCAGAACAAGTGCTACTGAAGAGCAAAGTTTGGCCCATCTGCTTTATCTGCTCTCTGTGCACAATCTCCTACTGCTGTGCGTTCCCTTTGACCTAGAGGGGTCCCACTAGAAGGCAGAGAGGGGAACACTCCCCTATGGTCCACTTGGGCTCATGGCTTCTTTGGTGAAAGTGCAAACATGGTGAGGGGTGGGAGTGGGAAGACGGAGGGAGCCATGGAGGTGGGATTAGGGACCTAGAGGTTTCTCTTAGGAACTGTACAGACCCATCCTCCCTCCACAATTCACTTCCCAGAGAAGAACTAAACTCTCTAATAACATTTTTCCATTGCTGCAGGTCTGAATTTTGAGAGGCTCAACATAAGAATGTAAGGACGGCCAAGTCTTTTCAGTTGTGATGGTACTTGGTCCTGCTGAGAAGGCAGGGGACTAGATTCAATGACCTTTCAAGGTCCTTTCCAGTTCTAGGAGATAGGCAATCTCCATTTATTTTATTTTTTTTAAGCCAATCCCTCTTAATCCACTTGCTGATTTTACCACTTCTGGAAAAGGAGACCACTTTGGGCTCGCTGGATGGGCGGATTCATAGAATCATAGAACCATAGAGTTGGAAGAGACCTCAGAAGGTTATCAAGTCCAGTCCCCTGCTCAAGGCAGATCCAATCCTAACTAAATCAACCCAAACAGAGCTTTGTCTAGCAGAGACTTAAAAACCTCTAGGGATGGAGACTCCACTATTTTCCTAGGTGACCCATTCCAGTGCTTCACCACCCTCCTAGTGAAATAGCTTTTCCTAATATCCAACCTAGACCTCTTCCACCGTAACTTGAGACCATTGCTCCTTGTTCTGCTATCCGTCACTACTGAACAGCCTCTTTGGAACCTCCCTTCAAGAAGCTGAAGGCTTCTATCAAATCCCCCCTCACTCTTCTCTTTTGCAGACTAAATAGACCCAAATCCCTTGGCCGCTCCTCATAGGTCATGTGCTCCAGACCCCTAATCATTTTGGTCACCCTCTGCTGGATCTTCTCCAATGCATCCACATCCACATGTAATTAGGGGCCCAGAACTGGACTCAATACTCCAGATGTGACATCACCAGAGCTGAATAAAGGGGAATAATGACATCTCCAGATCTGCTGGCAATGCTCCTCTTAATGTACTCTAATATGCCATTAGCCTTCTTGGCTACAAGGGCCCACTGTTGACTCACATCCACCTTTTCATCCACTGTCATCCCCAGGTCCTTTTCTGCAGAACTGCTCCTTAGCCAGTCGGTGCCCAGCCTGTAACAACGCTTGGGATTCTTCTGTCCCTAGTGCAGGACTCTGCACTTGTCCGTGTTGAACCTCATCAGATTTCTTGTGACCCAATCCTCCAATTTGTCTAAGTCATTCTGGACCTTGTTCTGCCCTCCAGTGTATCTACCTCTCCCCCTAGCTTATGTCATCTGCAAACTTGCTGAGGGTGCAATCCATCCCCTCATCCAGGTCATTAATAAAGATGTTGAACAAAGCTGGTCCTAGAACTGAACCTTAGGGCATTCTGCTAGAAACCGACCACCAACCTGACATCGAGCCGTTGATCACTACCCACTGGGCCCGACCTTCCAGCCAGCTTTCTATCCATCTTACCGTCCATGTATCCAATCCATATTCCCTTAATTTGCTGGCAAGAATATTGTGGGAGATCATATCAAAAGCCTTGCTAAAGTCAAGGTATATCACATCCACTGACTTTCCCTTGTCCAGAGAGCCAGTTAACTGATCAGAGAAGCTAATCATATTGATCAGGCATGACTTGCCCTTTGTGAATCCATGCTGACTATTCCTTATAACTTTCCCCTCTTCCAAGTGCCTCAAAATGGATTCCTTAAGGATCCCCTCCATGATTTTTCCAGGGACAGAGGTAAGACTGACCATCCTATAGTTCCCTGGATCGTCCTTCTTCCCTTTTTTAAAGATGGGCACAACATTTGCCTTTTTTTAATCATCCGGGATCTCTCCCAATCTCCACGACTTTTCAAAGGCTCCTCAATGGCCCAAAGGCTCCTCAATGATATTTGCCAACTCCCTCAGTATCCTGGGATGCATTAAATCCGGACCCATGGCTTTAGGTACATTTAGCTTTTCTAAATAGTTCCTAACCTGTTCTTTACCCACCAAGGGCTGTTCACCTTTGTCCCATATTGCATCACTTAGCGCATTAGTCTGGGAGCCCACCTTGTCCGTGAAGACAGGGGCAAAGAAAGCATTGAGTACTTCAGCTTTCCCCACATCATCTGTCACTACGTTACCTCCTCATCCAGTAGGGGCCTCACACCCTCCCTGATCACCTTCTTCTTGCTAACATGCCTGTAGAAACCTTTCTTGTTCCCCTTCACATCCCTTGTGAGTCACAATTTCAATTGCGCTTTCACCTTCCTGATAACTCCCTGAAGTCTCAAAATATACATTTATATCCCTCCTTACCCATCTGTCCAAGTTTTGTGCTTAAGTTCACCAAAGATTTCCCCAGTAAGCCAATCCGGTCTCCTACCATATTTGTTTCTCTTGCTGCGCATCGGGATGGTTTCTTTCTGTGCCTTCAATAAGGCTTCTTTAAAATACTGCCAGCTCTCCTGGACTCCTTGCCCCTTCATGTTAGCATCCCAGGGGGTTCTGTCCATCAGGTGTCTGAGGGAGTCAAAATCTGCTTTTCTGAAGTCCAAGGTGTGTATTTTACTACTCTCTTTCCTTCCTTTGGTCAGGATCCTGAAATCTACCATCTCGTGATCACTGCTTCCCAGGTTGTCACCAACCTCTACCTCCCCTATTAGTTCACCCCTGTTGTGAGCAGCAGTCTGAAATTCCTCTCTTTTACTGGCAACAAGGGGGAAAAAAAATCAAAGGAGCAGAAGGATGGTGTTGTGAGGGCATTGGGTGGGCCATCTGGGTTCTAGCCACATCCTACATGATTCACGCCCCCCAGTTGATGCTCTATGCCTCCGTCCCCCATCGTTAAATGGGGGTTACAAAGCTCCCTTTGCGCCGTCCTGTTTCTTTAGGCGGTGAGATCTCTGAGGCAGGGATCTGTGGTCTGTTGGTTTTACACTAGAAATCTCACTTCCAGGAGGACTGAGATTGCGGGAGGGTCTGGAATCTGGCTCCCCCAGCACAGTTTGAAGCCTCGGCAGAGGGAAGAGGAAATCTGGCGACACGCAGATCGTTCTCTTAGGCCCCGTCCTTTGCCTCCCGTGCTCCCGCACCAGAAAAGACGAATAATGTGACTCAGGGAAGACACACGACGGATGGACTCACCGTCACATGGTCATTACAAATGTCTTTGGACTCCAGCAATGCCACAAGAACGAACGCCGTGAGCGAGGCCTCAGGCTCAGCGCCCTGGTAACCTCCCTACGAGGGAAACAAAGCTTTGGTGGCATTATCGATCGGCCTCTCTCTTCTCCCGAGTCTGTGGGTGGGATTTAGCCCTGCACTTTAATAACCTGGCCAGCACAGTGTCTGGGCACCCATGCTGGCAATACGACTGCAAGGTTCAGCACGAGATACCCTAAATGGCCCTGCAGAAAATGCACCGTCCCAGTGCGCTGGCACCCAAAATCAACCATCTATCAACTTAGCCCTGCACAAACAGGATCTGTCCATTCCCAGACACATCCTCTGTTTATTTCTCTATTAGAAGATTTACTGAGTGTCAATCGGGTCCTTCAGAGCAGGGCTGTCGAGGTTTGGAGGGTGCAGGAGTCAGGGTTGGGGGTGAGGAGGGGTCAGGGCAGGGGATGGTGGTGCAGGACTCAGGGTAGAGTCCCCCAGGGTCAGCCCGAGACAGTAGGGGCCATGCAGCCCACCCACCACTTGTCCCTGAGGCAGGCGGGGGTG